GGCAATTGCATGAATGGGGCAACAAGAGGGTTATAAATAAGAAAGGCATTAACCTCTAAAACATTGCAGGAAAAAAGAAGCAATAGTGGAGAAGTGAGGGAAACAATGGCCTCCAACCTCAAATTGACTCTTCAAAGACATTGCCCAGTAGATCCGATTCTGATATGGAATCAGCATTTTAGGGAAGAATGAATAGACATCAAAGGCAAGCCTAAGTGGCTTTTTCTTTTATTTCTGTATGTTGAAAAACAAAGGATGAAAACAAATTATCTTCTATTATTCATAAGGAAACATGAGAGAGAACAATAGCACAATATGGACTGTCGTTTATTCTTCACAGGGCATTTGGAGTCCAAGACAAATACGTCCTTCTTTTTAAAAGAATGTTAGCAGGGAAGTGTTAAGGGGTAGTCAACAAACCAAGAACTCTTCTTTTTGAGGAATTGTATTTTGAGGACAAAATAAAGTTGTTTTTCAATGTGGGTATATGGTAAGTGAGATGTTTATTTGATATGATCAGTATCATTCTGATGAGGTTTTGCAAATACTGCAAGAAAAATCTGGGGTTTTTACTCTATTGGGAAGGGCGTGCACCAGGGATGTGTCATGTCTTCATACCTTTTCAACCTGTATGCAGAACAGATTATCCGGGAGGCTGGGCTCTATGAGGAGCTATGTGGCATCAGGATTGGTGGAATTGCAATTGGTGTCTCTCTGGAGACTAAGATGTATCTGATACAGGCCATGGTCTTTGCAGTCACTTGTTATGCATCAAAGAACTGGATAACGACTAAGGAGGATAGAAGGAGAATTGATGCCTTTGAGCTGTGGTGCTGGAGAAGAGTATTGAATGTACCATGGACTGCCAAGAAAACAGATTCATCCTGGAAAGGGTCAAACCGGGTGGCTCCTTGGAGGCAAGGATTCTGAGGCTCTGCCTAACATACTTTGGACATGTTGTGAGGAGAGACCGGTCCTTGGAGAGGGACATCATGCTTAGTAGGGTGGAGGGACAGTGCAGGAAGGCCCTCTATGAGGTGGATTGATTCAGTGACTGGGGTAATTGGGATGGGTGTATCGGAGATGGTGCGATTGGCACAGGACAGAGCGGAGTTTAGGGCTGTTGCACATAGGGTTGCTACGACAACAATCAAGTGAGTTATAGTGGAAAGATATTAGATACTAGGCCTTGTGAAAATTTGCATTTGCTCTCTAGTATCTTGAAATTTGAAGTGAGTTTTCGAAGTTATTAATGAGAATCTGCTAATTCTTCATCTTTTTAATAAAAAATCAACCAAGAAACACTTTGTCTAAGAATCTATAGGGTAGTTGTTTTTTTAACTAGACGACCAAGTCCCCAGTTCTCAACTAAAATTTTCATTTGGTTGCTTGGTGGGAAAGAAATAGTTGATAGAATTAACTTACACAAAACAAAAAAAGGAGCTTGGGTGGGCTAGTAGCAAGAAGCTGTGGTTCAATCCTGAAGGGGAAGGCATACAGTTTGAGGCCACCAGCTGCTTCATAGGAGGATGGCCAATCTTCTCCCATATGATTAACTGCCTCTGAAAACCTACCTGTGGGTTAGCTGTGGACTGGTTTCAACTCTACAGTACACAACAAAACAAATATCTGTTTTTCTGTAACTATTTTTTGCCTTACTGCTTACTGGTTGCTGTTGCTATGTGCCTGTGCCTTCAAGTCGGCTATGTCTCATAGCACATTATACTTAAAAAGCAACACTTTTTTCAAAGTTTTGTTTTAATCATCAGCCCATATAAAGACAATATCTGAAAAGACAAAGACTTTATTTGTTAAAACAGGGGTCAAAGAAGATTGTTTCCAGTCTGTGTAAGAGGATCTATTTTAAGCAGAAGGTCTGAAAGCCCCAAACTCCACTCTGAGCCCCCATGGCTCTAAAGTGCTGAGTCTGCAGTAGGAGCACTCACTGCTGCGGCTGCTCCTGTTCCCTGGAGTGCTTGCAGAAGGCAGGGAACAAACCAGGCTTCACTACATCTTTACTTCAAAATCTTTCCCTCTGCTTTGTGCCCCAGTCTTCCTGGTATCTAGCCAAGGAAGTCCAAAGCAGGTAGGAACAAAACCCTGACTCCTTTCTTATGTCTGAGTTTTCCAGGTTATGGAAGGAAGTTGAAGTAGAAGATAAAAAGAAAAAGGCATAAAACCCACTATTTTTTTACATTTGTTACACTTGTAAATTATTGGACAATTGTTTCTTTACATGATAAAACTGTATTCATTGACACAACTTTCTCTAGATGAAGTACATTTTCTTTCAAACTTCTTTAGACTTTTACTTTTAGGTATGAAGATTTTCTTTTTCCTCCCTCAGAAGACTGATTAGCCAATTGAGATACAGTTAGAGCACAAAAGGTGGCTACAGCCTAAAGCAATTGTCAAAAAATTCTAGAGAAAATTTCTTTATGTTTAAATAACTGTCATAAAAACTTAGGAGAAAAGAGAAATTTACATATCCTTAGATTTGGAAAAAAGCAAGAGAAGGGCCTAAGTTTACAGGTTAACCTGAAGAGTAAAGAAAATGATCTATCATGGCACCAGTGATTTGTTGCATAAGTTAGGCATGTGTGTGTCATTGTAACAATAGTGCAGGGGCACCATATTTTAAGGGGAGGACACACACTCCCCCCTAGACACACACACAGACACATATGCACACACATCAACCAACATTTTTTAAAGTAGTTTTTAATGGTTAAAGATTTCTGCTGCTAACCAAAATGTCAATAATTTGAACTCATTCATCACTCCATCTGCAAATATTTTCAACCTTGAAAATCCTAAGGGCAATTCTACTTTGTCCTGTAGGGTTACTATGAGTTAGATCAACTCAGTGAAGGTGAAGTTGGCTTGTTTTTCAAGCAAGGAAAGAAAATATACTATATTCAATAGTTTCCTTCTCTACTAAGGGAGCAGGAGAGAAACAGACTTGCTATGAAGATTGAGGTGAACTGAAATAATCTGGAAAAGTGGGAGACCTTATTACCTAGTGTTAGTTTCATTTGTAAAATGATAATACTTAAAAATCCTTTGGACATTGCTAAGCTAATTAGAATAAATTTTTTTTTTAAAAAAATGCAATGATTCGGAAACGTCTTGTAATGATCCTACAAGTGCCGAACAGAAGGGTCTCACAGAGATTCTGAGGCTGTGTGTAAAGCAGCATATTGCTTCATCTGTTTATTACTAAGGAGTGAGTAGGTTTGAACTTCTGATTTTTTGGTTAGCAGCCCAGCTCTTAACCTACTGCACCATGGCAGCAGTGAGTTTGAGATTTTAATTTAGGAATATGTGTGGTGTGTGAATCAAATGCCATATCACTCAGTGTTATATTCTAAAAATTTGGTGCTAAAATGTCTACTGAACTGATTTATTTTTCCAGCATGATATTATTGACCGTTTCCAAATGTAAACCTGCTTTCCATTATAAGTCTTGTATGATCAAGAACATAAAATGATTCTATGAAAATGAAGTATACATTGCCACCCTCCTTCATGTTCTTATTTTCCCCAATTGTTGAGCTTGATTTCTCTCTGTATCCATGGGTCACCAAACACAAAATTGTTTTCAAAAACTTTGTATACTAAAAACAAGTGGAGTATTTGCTAGGCATCCCATTCTATTAGCTAGCAATTATTATTTGCCTTAATTCTTTTTCTGGAGGCATCCTTCATTCAAAAGATCTTCCAGTATTCCATGTCATAATTTGTCATAAGCTGACCACGACTCATACCTGAATCTTGTCCTACTCCTGTACCATCCTCCTCATCTCTGCTTAAGCCCATTGTTACAGTCACTGTATTAATTCATCTTGTTGAGGGTAGCTATTTCAATCTATAATCTATTTCTTATACTTTCACTTCTTATGGAAAGTTGCTTACCCATACCTGTGCCCATGTAGACTTTTACTAAATTATAAGCATTCCAAGATGGAATTACATTACTATCTCTGCCTACAATTTTATTGGGTTTGGGGAGAGGAAAAGAAATGGTGTGGCATGCAAGTTTTTCTATAGATTAAAAAGTGTACAAGACTAGTAACTTCAGAGGAAATTCGGCTTACTTCAGAGGAAACTCAGGTCCTGTGCATTCAGAAGATTTCAAATCAATATTTAGCATTAATATTTTAACTGAGAATTAATAATTGACAGTAGGGATAAGCATCCTGATTGCTGAGAGAATTTGGCTGGGAAGGTCGTTACACCAAAGATTGCTGACAATGGAAGGAAAAAACACAAATGGTTTGTTTCCTTGGAAAAGGACCTGCAGTAAACACTAGAATTGGTGGCCAACTATAATTTTCTTCTAGATACATCTTCTCTGGCAACACTATAGCGCAGCACACAAGTAGCAATGCGTTAAACAACAAAAGAGAAAAAGGCACAGGGGAAAGTTACTAGTTTCTATAATTCTTATTACAAGGACTTACAAACCCCTAGCCCACTCACACCTCTGACAAGATAGAAGTACAGTGCACTTTGCTGTTTTCAGCATACTCTTTAGCTGCTCTCCCTAGGTAATGACCCCATGTGGAAACCAATGACATTTGAGTCTGGATTATCAACAAACCTTTATTTTTTACCTGGTAATTTCAAACTAGTATCTCTCCAGCTTGAACAATGTTCATGAAGAGCCACTTTTAATTTTTGTGAAAATAAAATTTGAGAAAAGTATTTGTTTTTTTGTTTCCTTTCATGATCTGGAAAAGTTCAACCACTTGTCCAAATTGCCCAGAATAGACAAAGTATAACTCTCCCTCACAGTCTTCCTCCACAGTATCACCCTAGCACACTTTCACCTCCAACCAACATTCAAGCCATATTTAACTTCTCAGTGGAGTCCAGAGAGGTTTAGGAAAGAGGAATTTCTTTAGGAATCTGCAAAATCACAAAGAAATTCCTGGTCTTTTGCTTGTTGACTGAGAAGGGAAAGCTGTGTTCACAGGTGTTCGCTGTCACCTGTTTTTCTACACCTCTCCAGAGCCAAGAGAAGACTCTGTCAGTGATGCGCCCTCTGCTTTGTCCCGCAGACCACAATCTCCACTCTTCATCCCATTGTCTGCACAGTGGGCGGAACTGGAATTCAAGGCTTCAGCCCCAGCATCACCGTCCATCCCTGGCTCAGCTAAAGGTCCTTTTCTGGGGCTAGAGGGAGGACTTTTGTGGAGGCAGAGTTTGAAAAGCCCCAGCACTGTGATAGTTAAGATCACCAACACCACAACAGCTATGCTCACAAGGATGAAGACCACAGTGGAGGAGGTGTCAAAACTCTGGTGAGCAGCAGAGGAAGACGTAGAGTTTAACTCTGGAATGATGCTTTCTGAAGACGTAATGGTGTCTTTTGCGTTGATTTGAGGGGACATTTGAATGGTAGACATTGTGCTTTTTTCTCCCCTCTGAGGAATCTCGGGAATAGATGTTGCTGAACTACCTTCTTCAGAAACAAGAGATGTGTCTGCTGGCTCCTTGTGAACCATTGGTGACTCTGTTCTCCTTGGCACTGGGCTGGTGGCGGTGACCTGTGGATGCCAGCTGGCCACTGTAGTCTTTCCAGGGCTCAGTTGTCCTCTACTGGTCACGCAAGAGCGGCCTTCCTTACTCAGTTCAAAACCCTCAGCACACTCACAGATAAAGTTTCCCAAGTCATCTAGGCAATTAGCAAGCTCTGTGCACTTCCCCATATGGAGGTACCTCTCAGCGCAGGGGCAGAGCAGGCCTCCGGAGGGTAACCCGCGCCAGTGCGCTCCGATCTCATTTGCAACACACTTGACTGAGACCAAGAGCAGTCCTGGGCAGAGCGCACTCACCTCGGTGCCTGGGGGGCTGAAGTCCAGCGAGGCGCTGGACAGCTGGAAGGGCATGCGGTAGCTCAATTTAGAGGCGGCCCCAGGACGCGGAGCCGGGCATAAGCTCTCAAACTGGTATTTGCACAAGTAGCCGTCTGCGCGCGACAGGCATCGCATCTCCTTCCAGCCTGCAGGCTCCACTCCGCCAGCGACCTGGAGACCGGCGCATCTCTGGGAGGTGCAGGAGCGCTGGGGCTCTTCAACCCACCGCAGGGTCTCGGTTTCCACTCCGTCGCCGTCGAGGGTCAGCCAGGAGAAACCCCTCAGAGGCTCATTCTCCTGGGTGCAGTGGGATTTCTTTCGCTCCAGCGCGACCCAGAACAGAAGGTCTTTGGAGCCCCCGCCAGGCCCCGGGCCCGCCCGCAGGAGTGCTAGCACCGCGCGGAGCTCTGAAGATCCATGCACAGTGCTGAGCGCCCCGCCGCGCAGGCTGCAGGCCTCCTGGGCCGCCCGGCGGTGGATGGTAGCGTGGTGCAGGCTGTAGCAGGCCCCAGAGGCTGAGCAGCCTGCACGGTCAGCAGTGGGGTGCTCGCCACCGCCGGGGCCAGGATAGAGTGCTTGCCAGAGTAGGCACAGCGCGAACGTGGACCTCATGTTGAAGGTCCCACGCCCACAGCTGTTCCCTACTGAGGTCTGTCCGGTCCAAAGGCTCAGAGCTCCAGTAGTCACCGCCCCTTGCAGCTGGATTCACCACCCCCTCCCTCACTCTTTCTGTCCCCTGAACTAGCAACAATGTCCACTAAGTCTGCCAACAGCTTCCCTGAGGTCCCGACAGGAAACGCGTGGGGAGCTCCGCCAGGCCTTGTGCAGCCCTGATTTTATTCTGAGGTCAGTGACACAGCTGGAGCCTGGGCATGGGGAAAGCAGTCACAGTCAACCAGAAGGTCAAACCTTCAGTTTAGAGCCTGAAGAAAACAAAGTTTCCACTGAGGTGAAAGTACATTATCTCCACCTCCCAGCTTCACTCCTCCCCACTTCTAGGGCTTCATTGAAGGCAGTTTCAGGACCTCAAACGCCAGAACAAGTTGGTATACATTAATAGGAAGGATTGGAGAAAATGAGTTTGATTCTAATCAACCAGCAGCCACACCCGTCCATTGTGTCTCTCTCCCCAGGGGTGGTAGAGTTGCCTCCTGTCACAACAGTTGATAGAAGACTCCACTCTTCCACAGGCCTGTGACTTGGGGCAGGAAATCCTTAAGAAATCTAAATTTCTTTCTTAGCTACTAGAAACAGTAATTTAAAACGTGGACTTTTTCTCGTGCTCTGTTTTTCTGTCCTATTGAAGGGGAATCAAGCTTGCAAAAAGTAATTGCTGATCAAATTTAGAGCTTTCTTCAGTATTTTAAACGGGAAATTCTGCTTCTCTATCAGTATTATATTACAAGATTCTTTTTAACTTCAGTTTCTTTCACTTTGAAACAGTTGGTATTGGCTTATTTGAGGATAAGTTTTTCTTTCAGGAATCTCTGTTGGGCCTAAATGGAAAATTAAGACCATAGATGTTTTTAGATACATATTGTTTCATAATGTCTTCACATGTATAAAGCAGTCCATAACTTTATTATTTTTTTTAGAACAGCAGCTGAAGTCAAACACTAGAACTGTCTTCACATCACCGACCCACCCACCTCCACCATGATTAAGTGACAATATTTATAGTACCATTGAGTTGCAATCGACCCATAGCTGACCTTCCATTGGATTTTCATTGACAGTTAATATCATGGGAGGAGAGTGCTCATCCTTCTCCCTCTGAGAAGCTAGTAGATTTGAACCAGCGGTAGCTTCTTGCCACTAGGCCATGAGCAAGAGATTAGATAGATAGATAGATAGATAGATAGATAGATAGATAGATAGAGTAGATAGAGTAGATATAGTTGTTATTGTTAGGTGCCATTGAGTCGAGTACAATTCATAGTGATCCTATGAACAAGAGATCTGAACTCTGTTATATCCTGTGCCATCTCACATTTTCTGATATACAGGAGTCCATTGCAGTCCCCATGTCAATCCACCTAGTTGAGGGTCTTCCTCTCCTTCGCAGACCCTCCACCCTTCTTAGCATCATGTCCTTCTCCAACAAATAGTCCCCCTTAGCAACATGCTCAAAGTACATGAGGCAAAATCACATCACTTTTACCTCCAAAGAGCACTCTGGATGCACCCTCTCCAAGACATATGTTTGTTCTCTTGACTGTCCATGAGAAGTTCGGTGCTCTTCTCTAACACCACAGCTCAAAGGCATCAGTTCTTCCCCCCTGCCCCCATCATCCTTATATTTATAGTAGGAAATTGTAAAAGTCTCTGTTCAGAACACGAAAGTCAATATTCTTAAGAAATGAAGTATTTGTTACATTATAATGTGCATTTTATATTTTAAGAAAAGAAAAAATCCTGTGATTTGAAAGATGGTTGAGTGTCTTAGTTGTTCCTCCATGCTACAGCAGAAATGCTACATGTGTATGTCTTCAAGTAGAAATTTATTCTCTCAGAGTTTAGGAGGCTAGAAATTCAATGTCAAGGTGCCAGCTCTAGAGGAAAATATTTTCTTTCTACCAGCTCTAGAGAAACATCTTCTGGGTGATTGTCATATGGTCTGGCATGTCTTTATCCGTTCTTTCAGCTTGCCAGATTAATCTTTTTTTATTTCAAAAGAGACTGACTTAATATATATTTGACACTAATTATAACTTATTAAGGTAACAAATACAAACCATTCCCAAAAGAGATTATAACCATAGGTATGTTGTTATTATATCCTGTTGAGTCAAAACTGACTCTAAGTTGAACTTCAGCAGGTTTTCAGGAGCTCTATATCACATAGAAGGAGATGGTTCCTCTTTCTCCTTAGGAACATTTGGTGAATTTGAACTGCCTGCTTTTGAGTTGACAGCACAGCTCCTTTCTCATCAGGCCATAAAGATTAGAATTTACAAAATATATTTTGAAGGGTCACAATTCATAACATTCTACCTTTTGGAACCCCCAGAATTCATATTTTTATAGTTATCTGTGATAGACAGTGTTTGGTGGAGCTCTGGGTTTAAGACAGGTTTGGAAGCAGGAGTGGAATCCACCTCCTAAACAACATGCCTCTGGAAGCTCTATGAACTTTGATAAATGACACTAGTTATAGAAAGGCTTCTGGCCTTTTGTTCATAGAGTGGCTAAGTCGTGCTTGACTCAACAGCCATCATCAACAACAATAACAACCATATATAAAACACATTAACTCCAGGAAATTATGTTATTGTTGTTTTTGGTTGCCATCGAACATGACTCATAGCGACTCTATGAACAAAAGACCTAATGCCTTTCCATAACTACATCATTTCTCCAAGTTCATAGAGTTTCCAGAGGCATGTGGTTTAGGAAGTGGATGCCACTCCTGCTTCTAAATCTGTTTTACAACTGGGAGTTCCACCAAACACTGTCTACAATGAGAAACCATTATGGAATTTGATACTGCAATAGCACAAGGTTCAGCATCACAGCAGACCCAAGTTACTTCATACAGCACATTGACAAAGATGTGCGAATTGGAAGAGTGTTCCTTCAGATATAAGAGCACTAGTCTCATTTAGCAGTGGTTAAGAGTCATCAAGTCGAATACAACTCAGAGTAAGCTATGCACAAAAGACCTGAACTCCATCTATAACTAACATGTTATGTAAATTTTATATCAACTCCAAAGTAAAAATTGTATTTTTTAAGTCATCTAAATTAAATATGCTGAGACTATAGACACATATACCATCCTGGAGCGTAATTCCTTTTTATCTGTAAATCTATGAAATCTAAAATCATGTTATCTTCCTCCAAAATGCAATGATGGAAGAGGCACAAATACAAATTCTTATTACAGATTAAGAAATTGGAGAGAAAGAAGCAATAATGAGCAAAAAGTAAATTCCAAGTGGAATAGAACAAGTTACATTAGCTCTCAAGTGTTGGAACTACTTCTCGGTTCTTGGAGACCATGTAGATGAAGTCCCTGCCCTCCAGACTCTGGTTACTGGCCAAATCCTCTGTAGGTCTACAGCCTTGGTCCTGGACTTTGGGTTAGCCTTTCAGGTACACAGGGATGTAATCTATATTGAAGGTTACAGTATTTGATCTTCTGCAGCAAGTGCTTCAAATCTTCTTTACTTTCAGCAAGCAAGATTGTGTTATTTGCATCATGTAGATTACTGATGAGTCTTCTTCTAATCGTGATGCCACATTCTTCCTCATATAGTCCAGATTCTCTAATTATTTGCTTAAGATACAGATTGTAGAGTCTGCGTACTTTCTCCTTATTACTTAAGTGTTTGAGGAAAGAGATGGACTTAAAAATAGGCAAAACAGTTTTGAAAACAAAGCCTAAGATCCAGAAAATTATGTCAAACAAATGAGGGACGTTTGCTCATGAATGTTCACAAAGGGCACAGTGACATCATATATTTTTGGAGATTAAGCTTGTGGCTTTAGGCAGCGGTTCCATTCTCTTGGTCAAAATGAATGGCAGTCCCACACTCTAGAACTGAGTTGGTGGAGATCTGACTCTTTAAAATGTGAACAGTTTTCACTGTTTAAGAACAAGCCTTCCCTGCTTCCTGTGCTCCTTCCTACAGTTCTGCTGACCTCTATGTTGCTCCAGGGATGCTTTTCAGTTTATTCTTTTCTTGGAGTACAACATTATAACTTCACTAGCCCGTTTTCTGCCTATAGAATTCCAAGAAGCAATCAGTATTCTTCCTTCTCATGATTGCTCTGTCTTCTTCAGCCTAAACATTAATTCCTGGGGCCTTGTTTTTTTTTACCAATTCCTTCAGAGCAGCTTGAACTTCCTCCTCAAGAGGAATAGACTTAAGATCAAACTTTGGTTCTTGTGGATTTGAGTTTATTTTCTTTAGCTTTAGTTTGAACTTACATATGAGTAGTTGATGATCTGATCCACAATCAGCATCTGGCCTGGTTTTCACAGCTGATATTGAGCTGCTCCAACAATGTGATCAGTCTGATTCCTGTATAGGCCATCAGGTGAGGTCCATGTGTATAGTTGCTGTTTATATTTCTTATAAATCATCAATTGTACAGAATTCTCTACTTGTGATATTTCTGCTTGTAAAACTGAAGTAGGGATAAGTATCTGACCTCCTCTCAAGAGGGACAAGGAGCTACTAACAGCTCAAGACTGATTCTCATCATCAAAAGCCAGACATAACTCCACCTTTCAATTCTTTTACTGATTCTGACACCAACTATCTCTCCTGTGCTGCTGCCTGCTTATCTGCTGGGCTTGACAATTCTCTATAATAGCCATAAGAGCTCTCAGCACATTTTCACAGTTATTGATTTTATTAGGAAGTAACAATTTAGAATTCAGGATCAGGAGCATTCAAGATATGGTTCTTGCATCAGGACAACCTTCTTTTAGGCATGACTGAAGGCAAGTCTCTCTCTGGGCCTTGGCCTTGTGTCCTGGCCTCTAGGCAAGTGTTGCAAAATTCTGCACAAATAAATGCTCAAAGACACCCCTAATTTACAAGCTCCCTGCCTGAGGCCATTTCCTTATTGCTCCCCTCATTAGCAAACTTAGCTCCACAAAT